TAAGCAAATAAAAATAAAAACAAATAATATAAAAATAGAAAATTATAGTATTTTTTTCCTGTTTTACGTAGCGCGTCGATAAAGATCTTTAACTATTTCTCCAAAGATCCCTTGAATAAATTATATTTACCGATAAAGATTTTTGAATATTCATATAAATTTATACCTCTACAGCTTTATAGATTTCTTTAAAAAATTAATTTCTGCACCTATATAAATTTCGATAAATATTGCTTTGTTCAAATAGTTAGGAGATGATGTCGTTCTTTAACAACAGCTTTAATAAGTTCTATAAATGCAATCAAGGTACATTTATTAATATTTATCGAAATTTATCATCAAATTCCGTATCAAATTTTTTGTAAGATTAGAAAAATAATTATAGGACCCCAGAAATCAGTTTCAATGACTACGTTCTTTATAGCATAAAGGCATTAAAATTTTAGCAATTTTGGTAATTTAAGCAAATGGGAAAATAGTTACAAAAATATAGAATTCAGTGTAATTCTTCTTAAACAACTTTAATGCTAACATAATTTCAAATAATAACCAATTATCATATTACAAAGTCAACAAATCTCTTCATAATAATAGAAAAACAGTAATAAAAAATCACATTTCATGTTGGATTAACTTAAGTTCAATACGATATCAATTGTATCCATTACCTTGGATACAATTGATTGACCATTGACCTTGTCAACTCTGTGATACCCGTACGAATTTGTTATCCTATGTACAAATAAATATGCCATAATTGACTATGGGACAGACTATGGCTTTAAGTTGCCGTATTACCGTATTAATTTCAATACAGTGTTTTTCAAAATACTGTGTGTGCCAAACTACTATTGAAGTTGTATGGCAGCTATCAGAAAGAGCCATGAAAATTTAACGAATTTCATCAAGTATATCGGCCCTACTAATATATTTGCTTGTGTGAAATTTCAATACCATAGCTTTTATAGTTTCTGAGATATAGCCAAATAACTTTTGAAGTTGTATGGCAGGTACCAGAAGGAGCCAAGTAATTTCAACAACTTTTATGACACCCATTGGCCCTACTAATATATTCGTTTGTGTGAAATTTCAATACCATAGCTTCAATTCATAGTTTCTGAAATATAGTCAAATAACTTTTGAAGTTGTATGGCGGCTACAACTTCAAAATATTGTTTGTGGCTAGCTGCAATTTTTAAACGTGTTTAAAACATTATTATTTAAACTAAAATATATATTCCGCGGTGTTTTGCAATTTATAATTTTTGAAAGTAAAATTTGGTGTGAATATTGTGAAAGTGGAAGTTCGAAAATGAAATTGGTGTTCTGATAAATTTTCAATTCTTTTCATTTTTGAGTAGTCAAATTCGTGGTCCCTTTTGTAAAAATATAAGTGACAATTTGAATAATATTAAATAATATTTTTCGGATCTAACAAATTCATGTTTTTGTTCTAGGAAGAAAGCATTCTGTTACACTTCGTGGAAAATTCCAAGAATGCTGTTGTTGATTTTACAAAAAACCAAAAGTTTAGAGTTGAATTATTTTGATACAATTTAGCGAATGTTTCAATTCATTAGAAGGATTAAGAAGTGAGAATCACAAAAAACACGGTTCATTGGGAAAAATTTGCAATAAAAAATCATTCTTCATTTGAAGAAACTAATGTTTGTCATAATTAGTCAGAAAGATTGAATTAAAAAGAAAAATTGGTGCGTAGGAAAGGCGAGGTAAAATAACCTTGAATAGGCCGTATAACCTTGAATAATACTCTTTCAATAAGTGACAGAAAAATATGTTGCCATATCGTCTTGACTGTTTACTGTTGTTGATAGTGCAGAAAAGAATTATTTGTTGTCATTTACTACATTATTTTTCACAGCGTATCTGGTGCCCAAAAAAAAATTTTTTTCCTTCTGCATTCCTAGGAGGAGCATAGGGCTAGACATGACATCATAGATAGGCATGCCCCAGTTTCATTGCGTCACAGAGCTTTAACTTGGTTGGTGACTAGCCTGCCGTAGTTTTTTTTATATTAAACATTTAAGATAATTGATATTTTACTGTTTATTTTTCTTAGTTTTCAATATCGGGTATTATTAATAAGTATATGAAAATTACTAATATATTATTTTTATAAATATTGTGTATTTATTTTGTAAGTATTGAATAAAATTTTTATAAAATTTTTATAAAACCGGGGTTTGAACCTGAGACCCTTCTGTTAAAGGACCGGTGCCATAACCACTACACTGGTCAACCAATGGTCAGGTTTGGTGCCAAAAATACTGAGCCAAAATTATAGTTTTAACTGTTGTATACTATATGTACTTCATTGGTATGCATATGAATACATATATACATACATATGTGCAAGTTATATATCCAACCAATGAGATGTTATCCAGACTAAAAGAATTGAATTCTGTTAGTTCTAAATAATAATAAAATACAAAATTTATTATATGATTCTTATAATTTTTACTTAAATAATCTTATAACTTGTTTAAATTCAAACATAAGAATCATAATTTCTGATTTCTCCTTTTTCTTGTTATTATTCTTAAGTACTTAACCTATCCTAACTTTAAATCAGCAATTAAAGTATAACAAATAAATTTCAACACATTTATTTTTCAAGTTCATGATCATAAATTAATATTTATTAATTATTATATATTATTATTAATTACAAGAAAACAAAAAATTAAAATTATTTTTCCTCCATTAAAATGGAAGGGTCATATTATAAAACAACTAAATAAAAATTTGTTTTACAATTTTCTTTTCAAGTGCAACATACAAAATTTATTGCATTTGAAAAGAATATCACGCAAATTATTATATTAATATTACAGTTTACGTAACACAATGGTATTACCGGAGCTGGGTGTTAGAATTACTTCGCAAATAAAATTCTAGAGTTACGAACAAAAAGTTGCGGGGTCTCAAAGTTGGAATATGCGAAAAAGTCTACTTTTTACATTTTTATTTATAATTCGGGAAATCTGACCGGTAGAGACAACTTTCTGTACTCGTTTTCTAAGAAAATTCTCCCTCTAACGGTATATAAGTGGTGGCAAAGACTTTTTTAGTTTCAGAGATATTAAGTGCAAAATTAAAAATTTTCCAAAATTTTTCCAACAAATTTTCTACTAACTGCCATTTACTCATAATTCCACATTACTATTAATTTATTTATTTATTTATTTATTAATTGCAAAATTCAAAGTAAGAAGTTTAATAACAATATGTCCCAAAGGAATTTTGTTCAATTTCTTTAATTCAAAATTTCGGTATATGATTTTTCAGTGTCTAATGTTATGTGTTAACTGCAACTAATAATTTTCAAACCAATCCTTCAACAGTAAGTATATATCAATACATAGAGCAAAAAGGTTTTATACAATCCCTATTTTCTGCAACAGACAAGAAAAGATCAGTTGACATGAAAGGTTCAGTTTCAACATAATCCGCAAATTCTTTAACGTCAAAATTTTGTTTTCAGTCTGCAAACTGTCTGGCGTATAAAACTTTTACGGACAGAAATGTAGTAAACTTTTTACCCGTAATTGACTTTGAATTTTGATCATCCGTAAACGTGAAAACAAAAAAAAAATTTTTTTTAGATTTAAAATAATTTTATACTTACATATTAAAAATTAACAAAAAAAATATTTTTTATATTATTTTTAACGTAATGATAGTCACTCAATACATCAAACTTATTTACTGAATTACTACGTCAGACTGTCTGCATGTAAAAAAAAAAATCTACAATTTTGACGCTTAATTGACTTTTTTTAAACGTTTAAGAATTTAAGCTTTGACTGAAAGCAAGAACGCAGTAGAGTATTCATAAACTCAGACAACTCAGATTTTGTAAAATTTGACGTTTAAGAATTTATCAAATCTTTTCTGATTCTTCAAAGTTTTCTCGTATAGTCTCTTTATTCAGGTTTCCTGGTATGTGCCCAATAGCGATATTTATGAAAATTTGGGCGACATAAGTGATGAAATAAGGAAGTGTGTCATGAAATAATAGATCACCTAACATTATACGTGCTTTATACGAGCGATTTGCCAGATTTACGGGGTGCACCTTTGAAAACAAGTAACAAGAGTGTAAATTGACAAATACGTGGAAAACAAAGCTAAATGAGAGTAAATCTGTAGATATGAATTTCACAAACAAAAATTTAGTGAAGCCAGCACAATTCAGTTCTAACGGTGCTGAAATATCGATCCAAAATGAAGCGAAATGCCTAGACATGACTTTGCATGTCAAGATCAGATGGAAATAAAGAAAACAAATAAACCGTAAAGAAAAAAGAAATAGAATTGGAAAACAAATGTAGACAAAACTATATAGAGAAAACTGTATAAAACACGATAGAGCACAACGTTAGTTAGTGTGACTAGTTTTAGGAGTTTATGACCGTCCAGGCGCGTTTTGGGTTTGGTCCTATCTTTGTCTTTCGATCACTTGTTTTAAAAAAAAAAAATGTTTCTGAAGGTGACAGGTATGAGGAAAAATGCAAAAGCTCAATTGAGAAAACTAAAATATCCATTAGGAAAAGGAGAATTCTGTTTTAAAAGTGAATAAAAAGTGGGATGGTATGCGATTAGACAGTATATGCTTGTAGAGATAAATTAATAAGGGTTTGAAACGGAATGTGAAATGTTAATATACGCTAACAAATATAATAGCTCTAACACTAATATATAACAAATAGTTCTACGCTAATGAATATAAAAGGGAAAACGATTCTATTAGAGAAATTTTGTTTACAGTAAAACAAATGAAAAAAAACTGACATTGAATTAAAATTAAGAGATTAGAAAAAAAGATTAATATGCCGATATTTTGGAATTATAATTATTCGTACGCAGAAAAATCGAAATATGTATATCGAACTTTTGATGTTTCAATATTATCGTCCCCACATTAGTGGGGGATTAACATTGCATTTCATAAATCATAATTCGTTTCGTTTTAAGTTGGCTTGTGTTCTTGTATGCGTATCTTCGTCGTTAGTATAATTAATTACCATTTTGTGACTGGTGAAGTGGAATATGGTGAAACTAGCATAATAAAATCAAAATATGAAATTAAAAAAAAAAGTTAATTCGATTGATAGCGTGAAATCGTGAGTTTAATGTTTGCTTATGTTTATGATTATTTGAAGATTTTTTGATTATGTTAACAAAATATGGTAATTTAATAAATTTCTTCGTAAAAATTATGTCAATTGGATTAAAATATATTTATATAACATAATTTGAATTGTGTACAATAAGCCAAAAGCGAAAGTTTTCGATTCAAAAATTTTTAACATAATTTAAATAATTACATATATGTACCTACATATGTTTATGGAAGTAGTATAAGGATGTATAGTATAACATAAAATATGCACGTATTGTGACTTTTTGTAAACTTTAATCATTAAACAAGATTATGTGCAAAATTCAATCTTAAATTAACTGAAATATGTACAAAATGAAACAAAAATACCTTATATTTAGCATCGTTATAATTCTTATGTCAGTGAGTATATCATGGAGTGGAAGACCATCCCGAGTTGAAATAAATAAGTGCTGTCCCTTAAATGAACACTTAAATTCTAACAACAAAATGTGTGCACCTGGGAATATTGAAAATTGGATACCAAAAATTCATTTAATGAATAGAAAAATTTACTATGAACCTCAAGGGTATAAACCACAATTTATCGATTTTATACCAAATAAAAAACCTGAAAACTGTTCTGACCCAAAAATTTATACTAGTCCGAATATTGTGATTTTGTCGAATGGTTCGTTATTTCTACAAGAAAGATCTTCACTGATTGATATTAATAACTATTGTGCTGATAAAGGGTTAGCTCTTGTTTGCTTGCCATATATCGCAAAAGATTACGAAGCACAAATAAGAAAATGCTGTGGTCCTAACTTAATATACAATATTGATAAAAAAACATGTTATTTTAATCAATTTCCATCTATGAATAACTTTTCAATACAGTTCAACTCAAATATTTTCAATAAAACTAACATCGAAATTATTTACGGATTTCCTGAATGCGCAATGGGTTCAACAGACTATCATATTCTTGATGAATTTAGTGAACATAATTTCAATTTGCAAAATGCGTCGCTAATTTTGAAAGATGGCAAAAGATTTTTACCTGAAGATTATTGTTTGGAGAGTACTATTAGTGATTTTGCAGATATAATAAAAGGTCAAATTTTGTCATCATATCCCATAAATATCGTTGTCTGTACTAATCATAAAGAATTTCTTAAATTAGAAACATATCAACATAATGGAACATTTTATAGTTACGAAAATAATAAACTTCTTGCGATTTCAATTTGTCTCCTTATATCTGTGCTATTTTTAATAGCAACATTAAGTGCTGGATTTTTACTGCCACCGAGTTACCATGCGTTGCATTGGCGATGTCAAATGTACTATGTCAGTTGCTTACTAGTTGGAGATTTTTTACTTGGGATGGGACAACTTTTTGGTAGCATGATACAAGGGACAGCATGTGTTTGTGTCGGTGAGTATTAATTATTTATAAAAACTTAAGAATGGTCACAAAAAATGTCTTTCTTTTCGCAGTTTTTTTTATTTTGAAAGAATTTTTAAACTGCCATAATATTTTGCGACTAAAAAATTTGTATTTTACTTAGGCTGAAATTAAAGTTAATTATACATCAAAAAGAAAACATGAATACATATTACTATAAGGTATGATGTACTAGGGAAGTCTACTTTGACCAACTACTTAGGGCTTGAAATTGTGAGAAAGATTGAAATTATTACATAAGAAATTCTTGATGAAATCCTTACAATACCGAATTGCTGAATTTATAATTCTGCTTAAGGCAAAATAATAGTGTAACTTTTTAATAAACAAAAAGAAGAAGAAGAAACATTAAACAAGGATTAATTGGGGACTTGCTTCCTATTCGGTTGGGTCGATGTAGGAGGGTACTTGGGGCACCTTGCAATATGTCCAGGGTGAATGTGTGCTGGTACAGCAGGGTACGGGGTAATGGGATACCTGATCGTCTTCTGCCACTAGGAGCGTATCTTGACGTCATTAGTGGTGAGTGTAGAAGGAGGAGTAGGGTCTTGTGAGCGGAGGCTCACACGTGTAGGGTGACCAAAACAATGTGGCCTATCAGGGACAAAAGAAGGACAAAAGGTAGGGCTGGTGTCAGCACACTGGTAGGGTGCTGACGGGGCATTGTCTTTTGGGGTAAATGGCCAGGAGGCTTGTGGTCGCTACGACGAATGCATGGCTGGTTTGGATAGGGGGCCTGGTGGGTCGGATTGCGTGGGGGCACTTGGGTGTAGGTTTTGGGAGTTGCCGATAGGCTTTTCTGTTGGCATAGTGCATGGACTTTTGCTACTACTAGTGTTTAAAAAAAATATGTTTGTATTCATATTACTATCTTTTTTTCATTTTAATAAATAACCATCGCAATAATAACGAAGGCTATAAAGTACGGAAGCACTTGGTTTTTCTAATTCTTAGCCAAATGCAAACAATATTTGGTTTTTTTTGCAGTTGAAATTCCCGAACTCTTCCATTATGATGTGATATATTAAACAAACTAATATCTTTATATCTAACAAGTCCTAATGCTCAGAGAGAAACTTGAAAGCACGACCTTATTTTATATGGGTTTTTTTAAATCGAAGTGGCTATTTTTTGAGAAGAAATATTAAAATAAATTCACACTTATTATAGAGCAGGTAAAATTTAGAAAATATATTCGAAAAATCAAAAAAATATATTAATATTTTCATTGATAATCATTTTAAAATTCTAAAAAAAGCAGAAAAACAACAAGCACAACCTTCGCCTTCAACGTTTTATATGTTACTGAAAGCATTTCATTATTTTTAAGTGAACAGCTTTTTTTTCTTATAGGGTAAGTTAACTCAAGATATGGGAAGTAACTTTGGTGTCAAGTTGAAAACATAATTAATGAAAGATAATTATTGAATATTGATATAAATACATAGTAAAGAAAAAATTTGAAGAGAGAATTAGAAAATAATATCTAAAATACAATCGAATATTATTTGTTAAATACAAGTTTTATATAAACTTCAAAATTTTATCTCTACTTTTATTTGAAAAAAATATTAAAAACTTACTATCATTTATATCAATTACCTAAGAAAAAAAAATATTTAAAATGTTTGGAAAAAACAATCATATATTTTTATGACCGGATTTGAATATTTTTCTATTTTTGAAATAAATGTTTTTTTACCAAATGACTCAAAAATTCCTACTGTAAAATAACAGGTATTCTAAAATTTTTGTTCTTTATGTAATATTCTTTCCGTTTAGAATTAAGATAGGTCATACATACACATGCAGAGACATTTTATAAATAGATTGCTCTTGTTTACCTACTAATAAAATATGAAAAAAGAACACAGCAAAATTTTTGAAGCACTCAATATAACATGTTTGAAATAGTTTTAAAATGATTATTTAAAAAAAATTTATTGGTAGTAGGTACATACATATTTATTTTTAATAACTTAAAAACTAACTGAAATTATTTGAAACAAATTTATAAGTAACGTATAAATAACCGAAATGAGATAATTCAAATTGTTGAAATGTGTCAACCTATATTACTTTTAATAACATTTTTGTTAGCCGACACTACTCAACTTACCTTATTGGGAAATACAAAATGTGCATAAAAAATCATACATCCTTCCTCATTAACATTTTAAACCATACTGAAATATGAATTTGAAATTTTTTATCATATTTTCTTTCATCCTACCTTTCTTTCTTTTTCGTGCAATAGAATTTAAATGGGAAGCTTTTTAAAAAATGTGTATAATATCCTGAGATTTTTTAAAATATTAAACTCTTTTTTACGTAAAAAAAAGAAAAAAATAATAAAAAATATGACACGATCAGTGGCACTTTAAGTAAAAACCAGCAACGAAGCCAAAAAATCGTAATATTTCGTAAAGAAAATTGAGTATTGGGACTTGTTAGATATAAAGACATTAAACAAACATATAAACTTAAAGTGTACAACTTTAAGCGCTTGTTATAGAAAATCTACATGTTAGTGATAATTTGGAATAACGGTTTATATCGGTAATATCTAAAGTGTACGGTAATATATATATGCATATGTATGTATGTCTAAATATCTATCTTAAATTCTATTCTATGTATCTATTTTATATCTTTATGCATCTAGGTAATCACCTATGTAGGTGTTATTTTTTTGGCTATTCCTTGATATAAAAATATCAAGGTCCGATTTTTTTTTCTTTAGATTATATGTGCTAAAATTGCGAATGTATTTGTAGCGAAATGACATTTCTGAATCAAAATTTTTTTTTCTTTCGAGTTGGCTATGAAAAAAAACATTAAAACCCAATAATTCTTCTATTAAAATGAAATTTGGAGTTTTCTGAGAAACATCGAAAATTCCGATTTCAAGTCAAAATTTTAGCAATGATCTTGATTAAATATCCTGAGGTTAATAATTAAAAATAGATAATCTGAAAATTTTACACTTTTAGATAATTGACCAAGTCATAAAATCAAATACTCTTTCACCTACGACAAATATTTTAGCTTAAGTTTTCCTAAATATCAGAAAATGATAATGGCAAAACTACATATCTTTATGATTAATTATTTATTATTGTTATAAGTAACAAGGTAACTTTGTCTGTCCAGTTTTTGCATTTTTAATATCAATTTTTTGAAGTTTGTTTTTTTTATTTGAACGGTCTTCTCTCAATGTTTGTATTTGTCCTATGCTCGAAAATTGAAATTATCAACTAACTATTAGGTGCGCAACTAAGTTCTCGCTGTTTGTCAATAGACACTGAGTTGGTGAAATTGCTCGATGAGGATCCATGCCAAACACAAGAACAGCTTGCTTCGGTATTAGGAGTTACCCGCCAAGCCATTTCTAAGCGATTGCATGCGTTGGGAATGATTCAAAAGCAAGGAACTTGGGTTCCTTATGATTTGAAGCCAGGAGACGTTGAGCGTCGTTTTTTCGCCTGTGAACAACTGCTCCAGCGGCAAAAAAGGAAGGGTTTTCTTCATCGCATTGTAACGGGGGATGAAAAATGGATTCATTACAGCAACTCAAAGAAGAGAAAGTCATGGGGACTGCCCGGTCACGCTTCTACGTCGTCGGCTCGGCCAAATATACACGCTGCGAAAGTTATGTTGTGTATTTGGTGGGACCAGGTTGGCGTTATTTATTATGAGCTTTTGAAACCAAGCGAAACCATCACTGGCGAACGGTACCGACTCCAATTGATGCGACTGAGCCGAACACTGCGCGAAAAACGGCCACAAACCCGTCAAAACCTACTTAGAAACGCTCAAATGGGAAGTCCTACCCCACCCGCCATATTCCCCAGATATTGCGCCGTCCGACTATTACTTGTTCCGTTCGATGGCACACGGTCTGGCTGATCAGCAGTTCCGCTCATATGAAGACATCGAAAAATGGCTCAATTCGTGGATAGCCTCTAAAGACGAGCACTTTTATCGCAACGGCATTCAAGCTCTGCCAGAAAGATGGGAAAAAGTTGTAATCAGCGATGGGCAATACTTTGAATGATGTATATGTAAGTGTTTATTGACAGTGAAGTTGCATTTTAATAAAAAAAAAGCAGCGAGAACTTAGTTGCGCACCTAATATCTAAAAAATAACTATCGAAAAATTCTATTTAGCTGTTTTCTGTAAAGTGAATAAATACGTTTTTTAATACAAGTAAACATGAGGCTTACAAAACCAACAACAATTTATTATATTTCTTTATGTGAACTTTTATATTTTTATTCATTAAACAATTGATTACGTGCAAAAAGTGTTTGAAAATCGATAGTATACCAGAAGTAGGATGATATGATAAGTGCAGATCGATAAAAACTAGTAGGAAACATTTTCCCATTTTCCTCATCCTAAATAAATTATTAGTCTTCTAAGTTAGTCTTCCTGAAAAGTGTCTGAATTCTATATTTTCCTTCCTGAGTTCTACATTCTGCTTCTATTCTAAGTCCTAGTTCTTCAAAATATTAAAATAAAAAATTCTTCATGAACTACTTACTGTGTCAAAACCAAAAACGATTTCTGTTTTTTAAATTATTTTAATAGTATCAAATTAAAATTGGTTGCATGTAAACTAACTGGTAATTTATTAATCATTTTCTAAAAATTTGATACGAGTGTCCTGAATTCAAATTATTTTCGTTTTTTAATTCCATAGGAAGAAATTTGAATTATAATTTATTAAATATTATTTTAGCCGACAAGCCAATTTTTTTAAAAAAATCTGGCAAACACTCAATTTTTTCGTCCTTTATTATACTCTGCACTTCGTGAAGGGTATATTAACTTTGGTATGGAGTTTGTAACTACTTGAAGGAGTCATCTGCGGTATGGACATATATATATATTATTGCTCAGCGTAAAATTCTGCGTCGATTTAGACATGTCCGTCTGTCCGTCCGTCCGTCCGATCGCACGATAA